CATGGGTCCGAGGGGTTGGACCTGTAGGTTGCACATGAAGCCCGAAGCAGTAGTGGCCGGCTGGTCCGCTACAGGAAGGAGTGCTGAAACCAAGACCATGCAGGAAGGAAGGCAAGAGGAGAGCGAAGAAGACACAGGATAGCTAGCCTTCAAGGAAGGGCGTGTCTGAAGCGAAGCCAATCTGTATTTATTGATGGAGGCTGCCAGGAAGAATTGGGCAGCCATCCTGTGAATTGGGTCACAACTTTGCATCAACTGAAAAGGGATCCCTGGTCTTCTGGCGCTAAACCCCCAGCTTTCATCAACAACAACTCTTTGTACTGTGGCTGCAAGTCCTTGTCGCTCAAGGGACCTGGTTGCTCTTCTGACGCAGAGTTGAAAGAATCAATCGCCGCCTAGGTAAATCAAGGAGTTCGCCAAATTTCCAGGAAGGGCTTTTGACTTAGACAGGCCAAGCCGCTGGTGGAGGCAATGCACGACATGCCAAAGGCCGCGGGATTAAAGTCAGTGGGATCTTGGGTTTTCGCTTCAAAGTTCAAGATGATGTGGTTTGAGTGGATGACCATCTGCCCTATGTCTGGGGTGAAAGACCAACTTAGCACTAGCCACCAGCACTGTTGCCTATTAAGATCGTCGCTTGACTTCTTCTTCAGCTGACAGGCCTCAGAAAACTCGTAGCTGACGGACTCGGGAGGATTGGGGCATGCCATCGCATCCCCTCCACTCGAAGCTAAACAGCTAAACGGCAGACCCCTCGAAGCCATGCCTGCCCCGTGCGAGTATGTGAGTCGAAACGGCCTATCCCATAGCTTTCACACCACTTTCACGTGCATTCACACCCATCCTCTTGGCAGCAATTTTGTCTGTCCCTGGATACCTCGAGCCCGAAAAGCTTTCTTGCGCAAGAATTTGGCTCAACTCCTGGACCTTCGAGACTCCGCTCCAGCACCTGAGAGAAATGACCATCCGGGCTGTGTCTCGCTTGCGCTGCCGCTTTTCCGAGCTGATGGCTCGCGTGAGTGTGACTGCGTCGGAGACGAAAAGCGTGATGCTGGTGAAAGTGGCGGGTGTTCCACTCGGCTTCACCGTCTGCTACAATCCACAAGCCTTGGTGGTCACTTCGGTGCTGACGGACTCCGTTATGGAACAGTGGAACCTCTGCAACCCCAACGATCAGATCGTCCGGGGCACCCGGATCAAGAGCGTCAATGGTGAGCGAAGCATTCGGGGAATGAACAGTGAGCTGCAAAAGGCCACAGATGCCAGTGCAGTCTTCTTCGAGGTGTTCCGGGAACCCTATCAAGGCCTCTTGGAGCAGATGACCGCCGCATTGAAGCCCAGAGAGACCCTTTCGCCCAAGTCCGTGGAGTCTTTGCATTGCCGCCCTGCAAGAGGCTGCGATGACGACTGCGCAATCTGCCTCGAACTGAAGTCAGGCGAGGAGGTTATCGAGTTGGCCTGTGGTCATGTCTACCATCGGACGTGCGTAGGCACTTGGCTTACGAAGTGCTCGAAGTGCTGCCCGCTCTGCATGCAACCAGTGCAGAGCTGCGATGGGCCTGCGCCTTCCGCAGACACAGAGCAAGGGCCAATGCCGGTGCATCGCCATGAGAGAGAGCGGCCCGAGCGCCGACACTGCATTTCGCTGTAAGCGTTACTGCGCTGCCGGCAAGCGCAGGGCTTTGCTTTCGACCTGGGTGGGGTTCTTAGGTAGCCACATCAGCTTTCGAGCGGCACCGATAATCCAGGTCGAGGGTCCTGGGACCATCCTTAAAACTATGCATTTGGCATCATCATGTACACCCAAGCTTTTCCTCACCCAGGATGTGATCTTGCAATATACGGGTTTCTTTGTAGCGGGACTGCAAGAGACATTGCCGGCAGTCGACTCTTTGTGTCTCTCTGTCGTTGTGAGTTATGCACAGACGCATGGATGTCTTCGCAAACTGTCTAGACTGTAGACATCGCACCCAAGTGGCATGAAGGCACATCTCTCTTTCGACCGTCCTGGCCACGCAGAGCCGGACGCGTGAATTTATCACAGAACCCTCTTCGGGGGCAGAGATATATAGTTCTGACGGTGAGCAACTCACCACAGAAATCTTTGTCCGGCGCTTATCGCACCATGCTCACATGCACTGCATGCCACACGCGTTACAGGCTGGGCGCCAGAAGCTTTGTCCTCTGCGTCCTGTGGTCGAGAAAGTGCCATAGCAGATGACATGCTGGGCAATCGTGCGAGATTTTCGGTTTTCTCTTCGAACGTCGAGCTCGGACTCATTGAACTGCGTTTTCTCTTTTATCCTGCAGAAAAGCATAGAGTCCCCAATTACGCTCTTCTGTGTGAGGTCCATTACCCGACTTTCGGGCTTTTCGGATCACCTAGATCCAAGATCTTTTGGACACAGGCTTCATGCCTTTCAAGATGTGTCCGCGCGACTTGGGAACCTGTTCGCGCAAACCCGAGTGAACCCTCGCAGCATGAATGTGCCTGGGAGGATCGGCCATCACAGAAACCTGAATTACATGTTGTCAAAGCCCTTCACCGTGTTCCCACAGTTATATACATTTTGAGTATCAGCTTTCTTCTTCCAGGTAGTTTGAAAACGGCGGGGTGTGCAACACTCATTCGCTTTGCATTCAATGTCGTGCATGCACACAGAGATTTGCCAAAAAACATAAGTCATATCGGGCTCCAATGCAGCATTAGTTGTGGCAAATTCCGCAATTGGCTTGGGCAAATCCGCGTGGCAGACAATTAACATTTGCTTCGGGCTGTCATGGGTACGATTGATTGAGGGCCAATGTTCAAGATTGTAGAAGTGTCGGGTCCGAACAGTACGTTTTTTTTTTGACCGAAGCCTACTGATTGATGTTTTTTGACCGATGCAGCCAGAAGTGTGGCGAACTTGCTGGAGCGGAACCGAGTCCGGCAGGGCGCAGCGCCAAACCCAGAAGCACTACTAGGTCCTATGGCTCTGATCACGCAGCCGTGCCCCTTGAGCTTATCTCTTATCATTCTAGGATCCAGACCCCCAATTTCCGAAATCCCCGACAAACAGAGCCAGTGCTTTGGTTATTTGTTTGTTGAGCAGCGATGACCCATGTTGTGGAGCAAGCAAACCGCGGGTGGCTGGACAAAAGTGTTTTGGGGTTCGTGGGCAGATTTGGTGGGAGGTTTCTGACTTCCGTTGAAGATTGGTGAGACGGCGCCGGTGAAGCCTGGGTAGGGCTGTGCCTGCTTGGCGGTGCTGCTGGTGAGGGTCCAAAGCACTGAGCTCCTCTTCAAGGATGGCTTGCTGTAAATGCTAAGAAATGGGCTCCAGGTGGAACCGGCGCCATAGAAGCCAACCTGTTGGCAGGGATGTAGCGATTGGGCCGTTCCCCGCTCCTCGAGCATCTTGCAGTTTGCCGCTGAAAGGCTGAAGTTTTAGTGACCCTGGGTTCCCAAGCTCCCCAACGCGGCGCAGAAACCAAAACAGGAAGATCGCCTGGGTCCGGGCGGCCTGGACCCCGTTGAGGTCTTCGATGCACTCCCGGAGGCATTGCAGCGCTGCTTCAAAGAAGGCCCGCCTGTATCCGCCCGTGCGCGCGGACGCGGGGCGTGTTCATTGTGAGAATCAAGCAGGGTGTTTGCACATCCCAGCCCATCAACAGAGCAACTCTGGGAAGACATGCTTCCCCGTGGAGGTTCTGGTTTTGGAGTCGCATGATCTCTGCTGCTATGGATGATGCTCCATTCCAACCTCCATTGGGCCCCTGCACTGTGAAGGGTCGGTGATGACTGTGGAGAGGGAGTCTTTGGAGTCCTCTTTACGCCACCCCTACTTCCTGAGCTTGTTTTGGGTGGTTCGGGGTAGTCGGTCGAGGAAGGGACCGCTTCGTGCAAGCTCTAGCCACTTCGCTACTCAGAAACATCGCCCGAATTGAGCCAGCTGTGAGGCCTAAACTTGGTTACGTTCGGGCTAGTTAGGCCTCATCTTTCACAGGTAAGTCTAGGCATGCGACTTCGGCGATGCTGCTCTCCTCTATCTGTAACTGTTGCTGCATGGCGGTGCTTGCTAATCAAGAGGATTGTGAATTCCCGAAGACTTGTGCTCAGTCCTTTCTTTCAGTTCCCTCTGGCGTGACTCTGTCAGTTGGGCAGGTGGGAACACCCCTAAGCTCCGAAGCTGTCATCGCCATGCTGTTTCGTTTCCTTTCGCTCTAGTTCAGAGGGCGTAAGCCAGAAATTGAGCAATATTGAACATTTGTGTCCCTTGCAAGGCGACGTGGAGCTGCTAAAGCAAGTAGCTCAGGAGATGCCAGAGGAGGAGCGTTTGAGAGGGTCCCCTTGTTGGAACAGAGCAGTCTGACAAAGCGTGGTGCACCTCAACCGCTGAAGCTTGAGGAAGGGAGCTGCGAGGGTAATGGGCTATAGCGACACCTTGCATGGTGCAGTCTGAACTGCCAAATCCCCATGGCGCAGAGTTGGGGCTCTCCGTGTCCTATTGTATCGTGATCAAAGCATTCAATCATTCTTACATTGTAAGACGGTGCTGTATCAGCTCGCAACACGCTTTGGGATTGCAATCTCAAGCTGTGGTTGGTCAGGTCGGACCTGGCTGCGCCTCAATCCCACAGACATATAGCTTGCCTGCCGCAGGAATTCGAGATGTATTTCCAGCAATGTATCGATTCCGGTCTTTGGCGTCCTGGCTGACGGCGGCCCATGGTGGAGATGAAATACTTAGCTTGTGTAGGCGCTGTCTGTGCAATCTGGATAAGTTGCCTGACCCGGCAACAATGGAAGGGTCGATCGTAAGGACAGACTCAAAGAGGTCTTGGCCCTTCACCCCTGCTGCCCAGCACAATTGTCACAGGTGCCTGTGCCGTCTCAACTGCGAGACAAAACGGGCACGAAGAGCTGGCTTGATTTGATAAGTGTTTAAAGGATGTGAACTTGAACCTTTCCCGAAGCAGCTCTTGCCCAAAGATACGAACTCCTGCGTCGGCCCATCATGGACGAGCCGCCACCGAAGAGACCCTGCAGCAGTTTGTCTTCTCTTCGCGGCACTGCGACGGCTGCAGTCCATGCCGACAAGCTGGCGGTGGAAGAAGAGTCAGTCCCGGAGTGGACTTTCTCGACGGCCGAGGACCAGCCATTCTTCATAGCCAATGATCTACGAGCAGCTTTCGAGCTGCTGAGGGCACGACAGTAGGCCCAGTAGCCATCGCTAAACACGAAGCCTAACCTTGCCCCACCTGGCACAGATATGTGTAGCTCGGCTTCCTCCTCAACTCCATCTCTATCCTTCCTTCCAACTTCAGGATGTGGCACCACCGCTGAGCCTTAGCACGACCTTCACGGCGCCTTCCAGTGGCCAGGGGCACGTTCGGGGCTGAGACCGGCCTGGTTTAGGATTGAGGGACTTGTACTTTGTCTCTTCAAGTCGGAAAACGAGCTATGTGTTTCTGGCGGCATCTGCGGTTTTGTGACAGACTGTTCAACATTTACCACGCGCGCCATATTTCCTGTGACGTGAAAGCCACTTGCTGAGTCATCACGCTAGCCGTCTGACATGCTTTTCGAAATCTGGAAAGTTGTGATGATGAAGCTGTGCGCACCGTCTGGGCCGCTAAACCATACTAAACCAGGGAAGTATCGCCTCGCGACGGCTTCCGGCAGATCGTTCCAGAACCTCGCTTTCCATCCACACAAGAAGAGCACTCCTGCTCTTTCCAGATCGCTGCTATCGCACCACCTGCAGAGGGTTCCACCCTACATCACCTACATCGCTGCTACATTGTACAAGTGGGTCCCGCATGCGAGCTGATATATAACTGTTACATGTTCAGCCAGCACAGACTAGATTCAGAGCTGGCCGACAGTCTGGGGTTTTCTCTGATGCCTTCAGGTCTACACTCAACCTTTGGTAGAAGCACAGTAGCGCTGCCCAGATCTACAGCCGTATCTCCGCGCCGACACGGAGTCGCTGCGAAACTCTCCTGGGAAACGTGGAGGGCACGGAGGCCTGGTGTTGCAGCTTCTCAGGCACCTATGCAGTATCCAAGGAAGCAGTGAACTTCTTAGCTGAAGGGTGCAGGTTCTGCAAAAGAGCAGACGATTTTGGTAGCAGCGATGCCATGAAGAGAGCGGACAGCTTGTCGGAAAACACAACCATGCAAAGCGAAGGAATGACGATTACGGCTTCTCCAAAAATACAGTAATCACGTCGAAGTTCTAAGTCTAAGACTGATCGAGTCGGGGCGTGTTTGGAAGTGTTGACAAGAGCAACTGGACGAAAAGGGAAGGTAGCGAAATCAAGAAGCTGAAGAACGGATATTCCTCTGTGTGTCCGTTCCCCTTTGTTGTGATACCTCCTTGTCGTGCCCCTTCTCGTCTTGATCGTCACTCTCTAGAACCCACGGGCCTACGGTCTGTTTCTTTGCACCTTGCATTGGCAGGAGCAACCAGCTCACGCTGTGCTGTACAGTTCGGGTTTGGCTGCTGCGTTTGCCCTGCCTCATGGCACGGGATGCAATTTTTGGGGCACCTTTTCGAAGAATCGACGCTGCTTGCGCATAGTCGATCTGAGCTGGGATTGTCTGCCTGATCGAGCCCCGGCACCGAAGCCAACCACAACGGTCGAATATTGTTATAGTGCAGATGAGCGGAGCCCGAACAATCAGAAGCCGCAAGCCCGTCGGCGAAGCCAAGGTTTGCACACTTCCTGCCCAAGCGTGTCTTCATTTCGGGTGGCTACCATGGCACACATCAGGTTGCTTGCCCGCAGTAGTTTAGTGAGGAGGGTCTCGAGCAGCTTCTGACGATCCTGGGTCATGCACACCTCAAGTTGGGATGCGGACACGTGATTTTAGGTGTACATGTGCTCTCTTTGTGAGGTCTTTTCGGTGGGACGTGCCGTGTAGACTGCAGGTGCTGGGGCAGCTTCAGAAGATCTCGGCCGGAAGCCGCTGCAAGTGCGAGCCTTTGCGAGGCCCTGAGGAGATGCTTGGCCCAAACGGAGCTTCGAGAGAGTCGGCTTCAGGCTTTGCAGTGCCTGTTCGAGTTCAGATGGCCTGAAAATCCTTTGACTCCCGGACGAGACCTGCCTGAAGGTCCCAAGCCCGATGAAGCAACAAAAACGAGGAAGTTCACACCGTTAAATCCTTCACATGCCGGGATTGATCGGCTTCCTGGAGTTATCCGCCTTAGAGTTTGCGGATTGACCTCCGTTGGAGCCTAGCTTCAAGGCCCGGGCTCAGCAGCCAGGGTGCAATCCGAGGGTATCGAAAGTGGTGTGGCTTTCAGGTGTGAGCTCGCACGTCCTTCTGTGCTGCAGGCCATTGAGGTTTTCTGTTTGTTGCAAGGCTGGCGTCATGCCTGGAAGCTGGAGACCTGATTTGGCTGGAGACGCCTCTGAATCCTTCGTGCGATGTGGCCAACATCAAGGCCTGCTGTGAAGGTCTTCGATCTGGCTCCAAGATGCTCCAAGCTAAGCTTCACAAGCTCCCATTGCAGAAGTATGGCTGTTAAAGCTGATGACGAGGGTCAGCATATGCAGCTTCAGAACACCCAGAAATACCCCATTGTAGGGCATGGGGAGGGAGGGGGTCGCCAGAGCACCTAGGCTTCTGCCGCCCAGCCACGCTGGGGTTTGTAGAGTTAATCTGCTAGGGAGCCATGAGTTCCATCATCAAGTCATGTACTAGACGCAGTTTATCTTATGCATAGACTTGTGATGCGATCAAGGCGTATGTGGCGGCAGCAAAGAGTTGTCCGGGTGTCCACGTGGCTGTGGATGGAACGTCTTCCTGCTGCATGGTATCCTTCAGACATTCTGCACCCTCCCCTTTGCCAATTTGCCCATAAAGTGCAAGGTTTGCACCGCCACCGCTGCAGCGGCCGCTGCTCCTGGGTGCTGATGCTGTGATGCATGCCACCACCAAGTCCTTGGCTGGGCACTCCGATGTGCTGGGGGGCGCCATTTGCGTGGCCAGCGCAGAGACGGCGGATCAGCTCAGGAAGGACAGGCTCGCTCTCGGCTCGACGCCGGGTAACCTGGAGGTGTCTTGGCTGCCCTTGGTCTTCGGTGCACTCGTGCGCTCAGCATGCCACCCTTTGAGAGAGGCCCTTCCATCAGTAGGTCGGCTTTGGTGACTTTGGTGGTTTCTTTGAGGTCTGCTCTCTTCAGTGAGCTCTTGGGAAGACTGTTACAACTTGTTCAGGTATTCCTTGGGCTTTTTGAGGAGCTATGTCTGCATCTCTCCTCCTCTCCCTCTTTCTCTTTCACTCTTCTGACCCCTATCTCGCATGCGAATCGCCGAATGGATGAAGCTGTGACCCTCTTGGAGGTTTGGCTCCTTATGCGCTCCCTGCGCACCCTTCACCTGCGAGTGCGGCAGCAGTCGGCCACTGCAACGCTTTTGGCCGAATGGCTCGATGCTGCCAGAACCGATGCTGGCTCGCAAGATGCAGGTATCGCAGAATTTAGGCTCGCTTAGTTTCACCTTCAGAAGGCATGTGCCCGTTGAAAGACTTTCCGACGTCCTTGCGCAAGAATCTGCATGGCTCATACTCAGCCTGGATTATGATTATCTCGAGCTTCCAGTTTATTAGCTTGTAATCTTAGATGCGAAAGCCTCCAAGTCCCCCTGTCTGTTGCACCCTAAGGATACCTCGCATGTGCCTCGGTCGGGCACAAGACTCGGATAGCTTTAGTCTGCGACTACATACTCAGCACAAACGCTGCTTCATCATGACACCTGGCGGCCGGATCTTCGCCCGGCCTGCACCGACTACGTAGACTTGCAGATGGAGAAGTGACGCGCATGTGCTGTGGTGCTTGGCCGAGAACGAATTTCCGACTTGGGCTCACTCTGTACCGACAATGGCCAAAAACCTGGCAGGGTGAGCAAGCTGGATGCTTCCGAGTACGGCTTGTTAAGGTGTCAAGAATCATATCAGTCATGGCATCTGCGGTTGCCGGCGGGGCCCGGCGCAGTCGAGATTTCCAACCAGTTCTCAACTTTCCCGGTGGTTGGGCGTAGCATCCCATGGAATCCTTAGACTAAGGCGCTCGCCGGGCTGATCCACGCAGTCCACCATCCATCGCTGAAGTCGCACAAGAATCATTCTGTTGCAGTGGTGCCTTGACTGCATTCTGCAGACGATCATGCAGTTTGAGGCGGAACGGTGTGAAAAATGTTTACAAGCATCACAAATGAAGCCGACAAGCCAAGGAGCAAATGCCGGGTGGCTTTGGTGGCTGCTTTGCCCTGGCGCCTCGGACGGCGCAGAGTTCTAAGCTGCATAGAGCAGAGCTGAGGCCTTTGCAGGAGCGTGGTGTTGTTGGCGGCGAGATGGAAACGGGAGAGAGACACTTTTCAATTCCTTCAAGCTAACAGTGTGGTGCCCAAAGCCTGCCCCCCACGGAGGCGTACAGTGAGGGTCACCCGCTCGGTCCGAGAGCGTGGCAGCAAGTGTGCACGCACTTAGTGGTGGGTAACTCGACCCAGCCAGCGGAGAGAATGACACCGACGAGACTGACGACACGCTCAATAGGAACTGGACCGGGGAATGTCCCGAGGAGCACAGCGCTCCGCGAGCGTCGCATAGGTTTGCACCCAACAGTGGATATTTTCGATGATCTGACCGAGATGGGGGAGACCGATTCAGCTCTTCCTGCTGAGATAACCGAGGTAGCTGAGGTAACAAGGGAGGCACCCCAACACGGCCCCGAGACTTTGCCGCCACCTCAACCTGCCGGTGACCGCAGCATAGCGATGGACGATGAAGGGGGAAGTGATCCTCAAAACAGCTCCGGGGCAATGGTTCCACCAGAACCAACTGGAGCACCACCGATGCTCACAACCCGTCAGCGGGAACATCTTCTGCAACTCTACCAAACCGGGGGCAATCACCCGGCAGACAGAGGCCTAACCTTGGCGGAAAAGAGGGAATGCAACTTGGCCACTACTGGCTGGAGTCACCTTAACCGGTGTTTGTTTCGAGGCTTGTTCTGTTGGTTTACTGTTTCCTGGCTTTAGTTGCGGGGACTCCCCAGTTTGCTTGTTTTGGCGTGCACTCCGCGGCCAGGGCACATGCCCTGGCCCAACCCTTGCGAAAAGACAGTGCGCGGGGTTAGCCCCACTAGATTCCAAGTGTGAGCGACTGCCGCAATTCTTAGATTGACCCCTCAACCCATGGAATCACAAAGCAACTTTGATCGGCTGCCGCAGCCCTGACACGACTCGATCTGGCTTCGCGGCTCTGAAACAACAAAGCGCTCCCCACGCCTCTGCGCAATGTAATCCCCACTGCACAACAATCACACTGCCACAAGCAGCACCTCGTTTAGCCTTGCTGTCCTGCCTGCGTCAGTCTCCTCAGACACTATAGGCAGAGAACCGAGAGATTGAAAGGTAAGCACATCAAAGAAGCAAGCCCATGACAACCTGAGGAGCTGGTCTCGGAGGCTGCAGCGCGTGCTCTGCCCGGGTCCTTGTGCCTGGGCTTGGCTTGCCTGTATGGAGAAAGATTGAAATATTGAGAACAAGTCGAGATGCTCGTGCGAGGAGTAAGCCTGAGTAGGCCCTTACATGACAATTGGTCCGTGAATCCACAAACATGAGAGGCATGTAGCTGCCTGGCATACGCCCGGGATGTTCGTGCACGTCTCATCGTGTCAGACTGGAAGCCGGCCGAGGAAGCTGTTTGGCAGCGCCACATCTCTCGGCGGCGTTGCCACTTAGCCGTTCCGGAAGATTCGACACCGGTGTTGTTGAGCCTCTGACACTACCCGTCATTGACCCAAGGACCTGGAATCTGTTAAACAACATGAAGTGAATTCATCCAGGAAAGCCTCATCGAGTGGAGGCGGCGCTGGGATCCGGCCATTTCTCCTCTGATCCTCGTCTCATCAGCAGAGCAGTGAGATCATGATTCCGGATGTCACGAAGCGGTCTCAGAGAGTTTCAGGCGGACAGCCACTGCAACCGCCCACGTAGGCAGCAATCACCTTTTAATGCGTTCCTTCTACCAGAAAAGAGAGGCACGAAGCGCTTAGATGCAGGCAGAGTATGTGAGATGAATGTGACTGTTCTAGGAGGAAGAGCACTGCTTGAATGCATGCCGAGGTTGCTCCGGGTTTCAATCGGACTGGAAGACTTTGATCACCTTCGTGCCGACCTGCTGTGGCTTTGATGCACGTGGACTGACATCTTTGACGTCCGAAGGCGAACGTTGGTGAGGTCAAAAGGTGCGTGCGGTAGTTTCGGCATCGACACCTTGTGCTTGTACCCGCAACGCTTGAAGCCGGACTCCATCGCTGATGAGGAATATATACTGCACGTGCTGCTTGAAAGAGTCTTGACAAGCGAGGCAGGGCATTCTTCGAGTGAGCTCCGAAGCAAAGTAGCCCTCATGCCGAGCATCATGGGATCGTGCCGGTTGTAGCCCTGCCGAGACTCGGTTAGTATGCAATATCTGGGTTCGGCCAAGGCTAGTCAAGGATAGGGATGATAGGGTAAGATACAGACGTGAAAGCTCTGGCATACAGAATATGTGCGATTCTGACTGCAGAGAAATTGTAGTCTTAGCCTTGGGACCGCGCAGTGAGTGCGATGTCTCAGAGCAGCGGGAGTTAATAGATGCACGAGGTAGCACTTGCCATGTGCTGCCTCGGCATTTCCACCGAAGACCGCGCCGTGTAGTTCAGGCCAGACGCCGAGGATCAAGAGCACGAAGCCTGCTCAGGAATATCTGAGTTTCCATGCCGGCGGGGCGAAAAGGCTGAGTTGGATCTACGACAGGGTAGAGTAGAGTTGCTTCAGACTGACGTTGGGAGAATGAGTGTCTAGGAACTCTGAGCTTTATTTGTTGCATCAGAATGCCAATGCCAGCCAACAACAGGGAACACATCAAGCTGCCAGTGGCTGGCATCGGCAACCAGCAGTGCCATGAACAATGTCTTTGCGAGGACACTCGGGAAGCCGCTTTGGCTTCGAAGTCGCCGGTGCTTCTCTACTCCCCACAACCCTCGAAACCAGATTCAACGGAATCTTAAGCTTCTCATAAACAAAAACCCCGTAAGAATCGAGGTCCTCACCTCTCCTGAGTGCATTGGCAGTGCATCCATTGACAACAAATCGGGTTAGTCGCGGTTTGATGAAGCTGAGCCCTGCGTGGAATGTTATTTGGTGTTGAGGAAGATGAAAGTTCCGTCACCGAGAGCCAGATTTCATAGGCGCGGTTTGCTTCCCGAAGTTACGGACAGAGGGCGAGCTTCAGATCCAGTGGGAGAAGGCCACTGGAAGTCTCCCGCGCTCGAAGCGTGGCAGAGTTTGCCGTAGGCCGGGCAAACTGCTTATTACCGGCCGCTTGTGAACAGGCCCTACATGGAAGAAGGCAGCAGATGCAAGGGATCGCTAGCTGCCAGAGGAGGCCTCTGAGGTGGCAAGGTTACAGGTGCTCCGTCACAGGTGGAGAAATGTAGAGAAGCTGACTGTCGAGCTTGAGCAGCTCCCTCATAAGCTGCATTGACAGTGGTCTGGGGGAACAGACTGGTTGCACCTTGGTGTCCGAGGCTCTAAGCACAGCAGCCGAGGTGGAGGCACCAAGGCAAACAGACCCCAAATGAGCTGAACTGGAAAAGCAACCAACTTCACAGCACAGCCCACAGACACTTCACGTTCGCAAGCCTCTCCCAGCTATGAACTACACGGACCAAGAAGACCTGGCATAGAGTGTCTTCAGCATTGTCATTCCTCGCCTGCCATGGTTTCTGCGCAGGCGAGGAACTGTTTTCAGGGCGAGTCGTTGTGCCATCCGTGACTCTGAGCCGCCGCAGGGATGTGGACTGGTCAATGCGAAGCTGGACGAATTCTTCTGGGAATGGCACGCCCCAAAGTGTGAGGGAGCGACTTCCTCGGGATGAGGGATGACGGCTCGACTTCTGCGAATTCCTCCAGACGGGGGTGCCTGTCAAGCCCCTGCGGTGCCTGTTGGAACTTACAGACCATCCCGATCAGGCTCATGCAGCCGGAGTCCATGCAGCTCATACGGCAGATCATCCACAATGCAGAGGATCCCACGGCCGAGGCGCGCATTTGGAGTTACGGGAAAACCTATGGGTTGCTTGCAGCAGTCCGGCCGCGAGAAGGATATCAGTGGGGTTGCATGGGTTGCTTTGCCCAGCTAGGGAAGCCAGTGCGCTGGACCGATTCAGGGCATAGCCGTAATATCATATCTGATCAGAGACAGATTTTGAAGCCTAGAGGAGCAGCTCTGCATGCACCGTTAGCGATCTAAGCCGTCGGATCAGCTGGAATTCGCAGACCTTGTGCGGCCGTGGGCTCGAGCACTCTTACGGTCTCCTGTAATCTTCTGAACAGCTCTCAACCCAAAGAGTTGTCTCTCCATGCAGAAAGCGCTCGAGATGTTGTGTGTGGTGTGGGCCATGGCTTGCCTGCCACCGCCTCAGTTGCTGGCAATGAGTGGTCAGTCAGATAGTGCACTCCGCTGACATGTGCTCTGCCGACTCTGCTGCCCATTTCCGGCCAAGGAGAACGGCAGCGGCAGAGGCCGACATCGGCTGTATCGAAGAAGAGGCTGCCCTATCCTTGCGGCAGCTGAGAGTGAAAGGTCAAAGTCGAGATGAGGGCCAGGATTCCGTGGACTCGCAGAGCTCAGAGCTTGAGCTTGACCTGGGCCTGGATAGCTCAACCGTAGATGTTGTGGATTTGTCATCTGATGCCGACTCTTCCGAGCAAGCCGGGATGCCGATGATCCCTTATCCGAAGGAGTACTGCAGGCACTGCGGTGAAATGGCCTTCTGCCACCGTGCGTCAAACCCGGGTTGTGGTGGATATGCAACAAGTGGAGTGGCCAGCTTCAACAATCGCATCCGGGCAAAGGGATGCGCCATAGGTCCCGTCCTCACAGTGCCTCGATCATACGTCCGGGATATCTCGGTCCTTGCGAAGACTCCGGGCGGTTTCGAGACGCTTGTGCAAATGCTCCAGAGCGGTTTCCGACTGTATGAGGGGAAAGGCCATAGTGGTCCAGTGTGGCAATGTATACATGCCCCTCGGCACGTAAGTGTCAGATGGCTGCACTTGCATACGTTTTGCTTAGAGGGGAAGGTTGACAACCTGCCAACTCATCATGACTACTGTGCCAAGATGAGCAGCTTTACCCAAGCCGCTGTGATCGCATCCAGCTGGCTCCGCTGATCAGAGCCGAATGTGTGGGGTCCGCAAGGCGAAGCCCTGGGACGATTCCACAGAAACCATGCGAGAAAAGCAGAAAAGCAACTGCCGGAGCCTGCATCCACATCAAGCTGCTTCGACGCAATGGGTGTTCACGGTTCACCCAAGTGTTCACATGTATCCGTCTCAACCCCCAACAGCCGAAGTTTTCAAAGAATCCCAAAGAGGCGTGCAATCTCGAATCGAGACGTCCCTTTCCGGCCGCCAGGTGCCACAGGTGAGCTCGAGTCCCCATCAGCTCCACATCCGTGGATCCCCTGCAGGCGGCAGGTGCGCACCGTGAGCTTGGCATTGGGATTGATTCTTGAGCAGACAGCTACCAGAGTTCGCTGGGCTTCAGCTCTCGACTTGTGAATGATCATTTCAGGGGTCTCTAAAGGTGGTGAAGGTAGGGGGAATCAAGGATGCCTCGCTTATGCCTGAACTCGTTGCAGTATGTTGAAGTCCGGTTCGTGCATGTTCAGTCTTCCAACACAGATTGCAGAAACTCCTGCCACATGAAAGAACACCATGCCTTCGCATCTTGGTCAGGCCTTCGCCGCCTGGATCTCCGCATCGGACAAATGTCGGCTTTAGCAGAGAAGGCCGGAGCATTCCTGACCCTGCCCGTGCCGCATAGTGTCCACAGTAGTGCGAAGCTCGGCAAGAAGTACTGCAGCTGCGCGACAGGCAGTTTCCGATCCAAGCTGTTGACAGTCTCAAGCCAGCAGAGGTGACGCGGAGTCTTCCAGCCACCTCCAGCCGTCCTCTCCTGGGTTTTCCGCTCAGATGCTGTGATTTTGTGATCATTTGTTAAGTACAAGTCTCCAGATAGCCCAAGTCTTGGAAAAGCACGGGTTGCACTTAGAAAGGCTTCGGTAATCCCTTGTCATCCCCATCCGCGGAGCTTCATGGAGGTGTGTATGTGCGGTGAGCATTCTGGATGTGGGGTCTAGGTCAAGAGCAGGGAAGGAATAGCCGCCACACCGTGGCACTCCAGAATGACACACACTTGACATCCCCACATGTGCTTGATAAGGCACAGTCCTCCAGTCAGTCCTGCCGCCGCCTCAGTCATCTGTGGGAGGGGAGAGAAAGTTTAGCTGGATATGCAGCAAAGAGTCAAGAAGGCTTGTGAAGTGTCCGGATTACCCAGGTGCCAGGACCTCCACCGCCCAAGGCATCAGCTGTTCGAGGGTGTTTGAAGGGGCTGTCCATTTTTTAACACTCAGTCTTACGGGATGTGTCACATCTTGGAGGCTGCTTCTAGTTGGAGGGTGACTTAGCAGTTGCATGCCGAGCTCTGAATTTGGAGTTGCAGCAACTCGCGCTGGATGAACCGAAGCCATGCCAAGCACTTTCACCCCGTATAGTGATAGTGTGGATCCAGTAGGTGGTCGCGGGCTGCTTTGTACATGCACATTGGCCTCGCCTCTGGCAAGTGTGCAGTAGATTTGTCGATCACTGAGTTCGAACAGTTGCACGCAGACGGCGGGACTGTGCAGACATTGAAGAAGTATCTGCATGGTGTAACTGGTCACCGCAGATTTGTGCAAAAGCTGCTACGTGGCAACTGCCTCTTGTCCAACGAGAGCAGTTTGCAATGGGGAGACTGCTTGCAACTGGTAATCCTGAGCTTCCGACCTCCTACAGACGAGGAGCTTGAGGAGTTGGCCACGGCAGTAGAGTGTGATGATGTGGAAGCTGTGGAGGCTTTCTTGCATTGCCCCTTGGACCCCGACTTGCCGCTTCGTGGCAGCAGTTCCTTGAGTCTCGCTTGTGGATGCGGGAGTTTGAAAGTTGCGGAGCTGCTCTTGGAAGCCGGGGCGGACAAAGACCAACTTTGTGCAAACGCCTTGGCACCCTTGCATGTTGCCGCAGCAGGTGGCCAGATCGAAGCCGTGCGCTTGCTGGTTTCATCTGGTGCGAATATAAACATAGCCAGCGGGGAGGGGACGGGGCTGTTGCTGGCTTGCACCTTCGGGCACGTGGAAGTGGTGGAGATTTTACTTGCTGCTGGTGCTGACGCGGATCAGACAAGCACACAGCGAAGATCCCCTCTGCACATGGCTTCTTTCGCGGGCCATGCAGACATCGTTGCCTCCTTGATAGATGCCGGAGACTGCTGCAACAAGATCGACCAGCAGGGAAACACGCCCCTGCACCTGGCTTGTCTGGGTGGTCGCTTGGAGGTGGTGCGTCTTCTCGCGGCCAAGACTTCGGAAATAAATAGGGCCGCCAATGATGGGGAAACCCCTTTGAGCCTGGCCTGCGTGCAAGATCATGCCAGCATCGTCAGTTGCCTCGTCAAAGCAGGTGCCAGCACAAACAACTCAGGCCACTTAAACGGCTTGCTGCCACTGCACTTTAGTTGTCTCACTGGTCGGACTGATGTTGTGATTAAATTGGTGGAGGCTGGTGACGACATAAACAAAGTTGACAACATGGGCAGAACGCCGTTGCATCTTGCATGCATAGGTTGTCACCTGGATGTGGTTCGCTGGTTGCTGCGTAACCGTGCCGACAAGCACACAATGGATGCGCTGGGCTGCACTGCACTGGAGCGTGCGATCGAACGCAGTCACCATGAAGTGGTGCGCTGCCTTATGCATGAAGGGTCGAGCTTCCCACCCATGGCAGTGCTGCTAGCTCGCAGACTTGTACAGATGCTGCATGCTTTCTGGCGAAGCATGGCAGCCTGCCTGCGGGGTGGAATTTGACGGGTACATGCAACGGCGTGAACCCCACAAGTGCAATTTCACAGATCACGATGCCTTTGAGCTCAGAACATCACTTTTTAATGTTCCGAGCTGGCAGACGTGTGCCTCTTTCTTTAGTAATGCAAAAACCATGGAGCCGACAAGTTGCGAGTAAACAGCTCGGTGGGCCATGTAAAGTGATAGTGAATTTGAGCGATATTGTGAACGATGTTGATGATGCAGATTGTTGATAGCAAGCATTTAGGTCCTTTTGCTCTTGGAGCTACTGTTATTCACGGAGTTCTGGACCAAGGACAGTGAAGGTGCCGATGGACAAGCGATTCACAGCCAGAACTTCCGAAATCAAAGTTTTTTGTGGGTTGGAACGACGGACAGTCAAGCTGCAATATTGTGCTCCTCGACTGGTTCTACCATCATATGCTGCGAAACCGATGCTCCTCCCGCAGTGAGAGCCGGAAAGCTCTTGCTAGAGACAGATACACACAACCACACGTTGGCAAACAAGCCTGTCTCATTGTATCTCTCGATAGCTGTACCAGAGTCTGTGGATACTGCTATGGCTTATCGTGTATAGCTCTACTTACTGAGATTCTACTGTGCCCATTAAAGCGTGTTGCGCTTGCTTCTGGCCCGGCGAGTCCGGTGCCAGAGTCCATCCCTTTGCAATCCACTCAACTTTACTGTAGGCTTTGTGATATACGTCGCGATCGCAAGAAGCTCCAGGTGGCGAGCCGGAAGTTATTTTGCATTCGTATGGGCCATCCACGGCATTTGTGCAAGCGCCATAAGTGATTGTTTGAACTCCTTGGCACGATGATGCCGAACCAACCATGCCGTCCTTTCAACTCAATCGAACAGTTTCCGACTCCTTCCAGCCTAGTCTCAGCTTGCTCGGCAAGACTCAAGTTCTGACAGGAGACGGATGTGCTGTCCCCTCCGCACTCACCTCAGCATCTCGCTCCTTCGTCGGACCAGGGGTGCCTTACGCTCTCGCTGGTAAGTAGGCTGGAAATCAGTAGACCGAGCCTGTGGTTCTGCCAGAGCGATTCTCCTCGGTTGAATCGTGCGCTCGGCATAAGGGCTGGTCCCTGCCATGTTTGTGTCAGACTTTCGCCTGCAGGCTTTGACAGCTGCACATGCGAAACACTTCTGAGACGCAGGATAAACGGCTGACTCCGAAATAGGTTAAAAGGCACAGAAGACCAGCTACGAAACTAGCAGCAGGGGTAGTTTACAGTTATTCCAGAAGGCCGACACATGCATGGATCGCAAGGCCGGAGCATCCGATCAGCCCGGGCAGTGGGCCAACAGGCTCGGGTACTAATTGCCTTGTCGATGCAATGGCAAAATTACATGCAGGATTTTCCGATGCATTCAGTGTGCGCATGCCCTTTTGAGCCAATGCTGTGCTAGAATCTCGGCACGGTGCACGTCCAACTTCGCTGTTTTTCCGACTGTGAAGTCAGAAGTCACCTTGAATACTGCAGGCGTCAAGAATTCGATGATTGCAACGAATGCCAAGGTTGGCATGCCTGGTTTCGTCCGCTTGCAAAGGTTGTGACCACCACTTTGGCTGCACCATGGTTGGATCTCGACCAATTTGTGTTCTCGAATCTCGTGCCCTTTAACTTGCAAACCACTCGAGCCTGCCCTTGGAAATCGAACTGCTAATCCGCTGCCAACTGTGCGAGACCATCCCTCGTTTCTGGTGGCCCAAACGCGATCAGATCTCCGAGCTTGTGTGCCGCTCAGAGACCGCAAGGCTGCTAGAGTCGCTGTGCTTAGAGCTTAGAACAAGAGTGCAAATCTATCGCTGCCAAGGGCCAGGAGTACAAAGACCAGATTCACGACATATTCGTGAAGCAGGGCATCACCGATGGGCTAAAGACTGCTTGTGCTCGCTTGGTAGAGATGCTGACAGGCTCACAGCTTTAGGCTGACTCGAGCTATTGTGGACTCGCTTTAAGTAGGCTTTGTGGAATTCCGTATGTCCCAAACTCGAAGGAACTGGGAGCAGTGCGAGCAGATTGTCACTGATGTTTTCAAGCTGTCGAAATATTTCGCCGCCAGTCACTCGGAGACCATCTCTCGCGCGGCTTTCGTGCATCGGAAAATCTTCGAGAAGCATTGCTGTAGTTCTGCTGTTCCCAACGATGAGGCCCCTATTTTCCACAAGATGAAGGCACGATGCATGGACTTGAGTCCATGCTTTTGTAGTAGCACTTGTCTGTGCTCGTGGTGGTGCTGCTGCTGACTGTGTGGCTGCCGGATTCAGGAAGATTTTGCCGAGCGTTTTGTCGTGGCAGGCCTTCTATGACATCGTTGACCGCAGCGCAATTTCCAAGCGCGATGCTTCAGCCTCGTTTGCCCTTCCAGGGAGGACCCAGTCACAGATGAATAGAACGAATAGCAGCGACGGTTCCGAGCCCGAGGCCATGATGGTGCCTACGCCCGTACCGATCACAGAAATGATGCCCCGCGGCCAAATTAACCACCTGACAGAATGATGTGGGGCCAAAAATCGACTTAATCCGATGCGGTGCCAGGGTGGTTGGTTGGGCGAACCGGAAAATCCAGCCTGATGATCCGACCCTGAGCTTCTTCTCAGTGGTCAAGAAGGCCTTGCATGGAGCCTGGTCTAAGGGAAGGTTTGTAGGCTGCGAAAGCCCGAGACTTCAGACCCCAGCCGTTGCTTGAATGAGCGCAGGACCACAATGACTGGATCGAGAAGGAGGCAAGTGGCAGTTTGCTGTTTTACGGTTCAGGCAGCGACAGCAGCAAGAGTGCGAGAATTGCCGATGCTTTTTGGGCCGGAGGGCATCATCATGGTTTCGTAAGGCTAAAGCCCGTGCGCGATGTTTGCGACTGGCAGGACTTCGACGTCTTCCTGCATGCTATCTTGATGACCCATCCAGGCTTAGACTTCCTGCTGGATACACAGGCCGCGGCAGTGGTCTCATGTCGTGCAGACTGTGTAGATATGGGCGGCTTGCTCTCGTCAGCGTACCTGTACCTGACCGAATCCACTTAATCAATACGACAGCTGCATTCGTAGATGAGTGCTGAAGCATTCGCGAGTTCAAAGCCGCGATTGGCATCGCAGCTTTTTAGGAAGATCCTGGTCACAGCCCGTGATGTGCCCGGCCCGAGGAGTTCCAAGATAGATATGCCGATACGGCCGTGATCTCAGATCTCCGTGCTTTAAGAACAGGGATTCCAAGAAGTGAAAACAGACTTGAGCGATGCAGGTCACCAGCCGAATCTTCTACATTTACGACGCTGCAGCTGCAACTGCTGCTGCGAGTTTCTGTTGTAGCGTGCTTTGTTTTGACAGAAGCTGTGTGAGCTTAAGGATAGGAAGGGGACGGGTCGAATCTACCTGCAAAGCTTGGGCCTTACTGTACAGCAGAAGCTGTTGATGTGGATGCGACGCAGCGACAGTCGCGCTAGCTTCCCTCTGCACCTTCGAGCGTGCATGTGCTGTGGCGGCTAGAGCTAGAGGTGCGTTCGAGAAAGTCCTTTAAGTCGGGAGTCGGGAGGTAGCTGTGGTGATGGTTGATGGTAGTGGTGCTGGTGGCCATCGCAATTGATCGCAGATCTGCGGCGGTATCAGCCGTCCATCGTCGAGACGTGGAAGCAGCTCGAGGTGGGTGATGAAAAGCGTCTCGTCTTGTGGTTCAATCCGCAGATAGCAAGATGCTTCCCCATGGCGGCTTGAAGCAGGACTACGATGACATGAAGATGATACGCGACTATTTCAGCTATGAGCACTTCTATGTGATCTACTGCCCGGAACTCGTGAGGAAGAAAGTGGCTACTAAAAGCCGTCAAAGCTGCAAGGCACGTTCTGGGAGCTGGACTCCGACCACGACTTCCTCTTAGACAAAGACGACCTCCTGAAGTATGACGGGAGCTCCCGGCCTGTCACGGCTCAACGAAAAAGTGCTCGACGCTTGTAAGCAAGTCCATAGCCTCGGGCCAGGCACGCGCTGTCTAGAAGAACAGTGGACCGGATCTTCAGCGAGGTGACATGGCGGTCGGGTCCTTCCCGACGGGTGTGGCCGCTGCTGTAGCAGGTTGCAGTTTCCGAGCATCACGGTGCTTAGGTTCACGTCGGCTGTGCCCGGCAAGATGGGATACGAGGCACCGATGAAAAAGCGTATTGGCCAACCCACAGATGGACAAACCTGGGAGCGCTGCAGGATTTCATCCACTTCCTCCTGAATGACCAGGATCAGATAACCGCCAGGGCCTGAATTGCATGTACGGACCACAGCTGAGCATGCTGCGACGTCGTGGGCAGTGACAAGTAGCTGCACGCTTTGCGCATTTCTGGCTGGCTCAGCACTGCTCGGCAAGGACAGATCAATCGAGTTTTGGTTTAACATCTTTGACTTGGATGCCCGGCGCACAGAGCCGGCAAGAACATTTCAGGGGGCCAACTCGGCAGCGGCCTCTCGCTGCTTGAGGCAGATGGTGTCGTTCGGGACTATGAGCTGTGCGGCCCACGGCTTGCGCTGTACTCTATGTGGGACTTGACTTTGTCGGCTTTCTAGGGTGAGAGCCGTCTTCGGAGGGTAAGAGTTTCGGGACTTCAGGATTGTCTATTCTCTGTGTATCCAGACAACCACATATTTCATGTACCTCTGGTTTCATGGACACCTTTGGCAAAGATGCCCGCTGCTCCCGGATGGTCGCCTGAGAGCATCCTGCGCTCACGGAGCACCGGGAGGTTGTTCCAATTCAAGCTCGCACGACCTTCATTGTCATACTGCTACACCAGCCATCTTTGGGCCTTGCAGCAGTGAGTTCAGCTAGAACCCCGTGGCCTTCTCGCCTTTCACAGCGCGTGTGCCATGGCCGACCGCAAGGCTGCGGAGGGTTGGCGCACTTATGACGTGCATGTGGTTTCCGTCTATCCGCATCGCTCCAGCAAGCAGAGATTGCATGCACACTCAATCAATTGCATTCCCTCCGATTTCTTGTCATGCGTGAGCTCACACAGCATTCCTCAGACATGTGCACACATGTTCATTGTCCAGCCCCTGGGACATCTTCTGTTCTGGAAAGGCAGTGATCAAGAACGCTGACATGGCCGAGGACATGCAACAGGATGCCATCGACTGTGCCACTCAGGATAGACCGTGCTTTCTGAGCCTTCGCTGCATTGGATCCCGTGCATGAAGCCACCTTTTTCCTCTGCGAGGCCCTGGAGAAGTATAACATTGAGAAGGACATCGCTGCATTCATCAAGAAGGACCACGAAACTTCATCTGAGTTTCCGGCCCGCGAGTCGACGGTTTGCACCTCCAGCCCTCCGACCGCGATTGTCCAGTTTTATGCGCCTGCCATTTCGTGACGCAGGAGTTTGACAAGAAGTACAATCCGACCTGGCATGCAGTTGTCGGACGCAACTTCGGCTCATACGTGCCGCATCCGCAGCCAGAGAAGGTGGACACTTATACACGGGATCGGATCTTGTTTCAAGCACCAAGATACAAAGCAGCCGATACTGCCGATCATGCCCAGCTCTTTCATGTCAATGTTGCTCCTAAGTCCTAATTGCCTCAGCAGATTGTGCCTGAACTGTCCAAACATCCGCACTGTTCTTGTCTGCGGCACCGAGAAATTCCAAGAGAAGCTGAAGCATAGGAGCACCTCAGGTCACGCACGAGACGAAGCACTTCATCTACTTCTATCTGGGCCTTGGACTTATCTTCGATGCTCAGCCCACAGAAAGATTTCCAAAATAATTACCTTGGCAACTTTTATCAAGCGCAGGCGCTGCAATTCTGGAAGGTTTGTCCTCCTCGGCATCAGATGTTACCGCTATCTGTTTCTGCGCCTGCTTCGCCAGGTAGTTTTCGCAAACTCGCAGTTCCTGGTTAGTGGTCGCTTTCCGAGGTCAGGTGGCCATCCTCCTCTTCAAGTCGGGCTGAGTCCGCTGAAGGCGCATTGCCGCATGGTCTCACGTTCGTTCCTGACACATCTGCATGTCTGGACCCTGCGTTGGCGTGCAGGCACAGTACAGTGAGACGGCCCTGTCAGATCAGGTTGTGGCGCGCTGGGTGAATGATTTTTTTCTCTTGGTGCTGCTGCTGGTGTATCTAGCTAGCGAGCTCGTCCATTCTAAGTTCTGTGCAGTCTGCAGTGTATGGCGATCTGACCACTCCTGATTTCAAATTCGACGCGGGCCGGCTGAGTTTGCAATACGCTTGCTCAGAAGGTTCACAGTTCACCTTGTTGAATTCTAACTGCTCCACCATCTGACAAAGGCATGTAGACATGGTTTTTGTTTGCCTGTGTGCGCGACTCTGGACCAGAGGTCGTTCGTTCGTGTCACGAGCCTCGTGTCTTGCCCAAAGCCAGCGCCACGAGGAAGTTCTTCTACGAGGAGCAAGTGCAGCGCATGGAGCCAGATGCCAAGTGTTGCCAGGCCCGGATTGTAGCAAATGTGATCAACCTTTACAGGTGCCTGAACTACGAAACCATCGCGTTTTGCGATGTCTTGTCCCGGACTTGGTCTTGGGTGCCTCCCCCTTCCATGTGACGGGCTAAAGATGAGCCGTTTGCCAGCGAGGTGCCAGCTGCATGACATGATTTGTCCGAGAGTTGCTGGAGAGCGAGGATCCCAGCAGACCGCACGTGACCAGTTCTGAAAATGCAGCACACGTGTAGGTTAGTGCCCGCGACGCCTGGCTTGTGCGGTTTTTTGGGAGGATGTGTTGCATAAGGTTCCGGCTCGCGGACTTCAAGCGCAAGCGCAAATTTGCCGGCTCCTTCTTTTCGATTTTTACGCCGGCGCCCTGGCAATGCAGCCAAACGATGTCACCGACTCCATGATCCAGCACATTGCACTACACCGCTACACATTCATAGTCCGGCTTACTTACATGGATATGTTCCACCCAAGGTGTGAGTGTTGTCGGAAACATTCTTCAAAGTAGCTGTTTTCTATCACTTTCCCGGCCGACTTCCCAAGCCCGGGTGCAAAAAACATACTGCTTCCAACAGATTCAGGTTGGACCAGGCTCAAGGGATGGCAAGATGATTAGAAGACCCGAGCAATCATTAAAACGTTGGAAAGATCTCAAGGACCAAGGATCATGCAGCAGCTTTGAGTCAATAAGAGAGTCGAATGGTGCTTATGATCCTGTGAGGGTAGTGTTGATGCCGGTGACGGTGGCTACTTCTGCTGCTCTTTGTTACCGTCACCACTGCTCAGCGTGCCAGTATTCGTGTTGGCCGCAGCAGCAACACTGTCACTGTAGCCATGATTCTTAAAGCTGTCCTGCTTGGTGTTGTCAATATGGTTGTCAAACTTTTTGATCCGCCGTTGCCACCTCGGCTTGAAACCTTGCGAACTGCGCCGTGCGCACATAGCTCGGGCAGCAGCTAGCAGCTAACGTCTCCTGTGACAGATGCTCCGGAAACAGTCATCTTGCCCAAAGTCATGGCACCGGTAGGTTCCAGCTACAGAACTAGGAGTCATGCGGTTCGTTTTTCGGCTATGTCTCATGACCGTGTGCCCGGAACTTCACTGAAAGCATCTTGTTGACCCTTCGCACTGGCCCGAAGGAAGTTGAAATCATCGTTTTGAAACAGTATTCCAAGGGAAAGCCTCTGGCGCCATGCTTCGCCGCGTCACGGTGCACGGCCTTGCGAGCCAGCCGTTTCCTGGATGGCGAGGAGAGGGCTCGAGTTTTCCCATAGTTCAAGTATTAGCCTGTCGTTCATTTTTATGTAGCCAAAGTGGTTCGAGCTCGGTGTCATCCGGCAGCAGACGACTCACGACCGTGCGAATTGTGAGGGTCGAAACGCTTAAGCCGTTGCTGCAGGCTTTTAGCAGAACATGGCCCTTACCCACTCAGACTCAGACAGCCTCGGATGAACTCCGACGCCCCCGACACCCCAGAGAAACTGCGGGCTTGAATGGTCGGTTGTGCGCCGACATGAGCCTAGGAACGCTGCGGAAGCTGTACAATCTGCGCTCCTTGGTGAACCATGGTGCTGCACGTGCTGATAGCTTTTTACAAATGCAATTTCGAATTCATGCCGATGCTATCGCGAGACTTGGATGTTCAAACGATCCTCGGCTAGTCAGCTACTTCAAGCATGCTAGGTGGGGGACGAGAAAGCAGTGTATACTGAGCTTCTGCGACATCGATAGCTGGAGCAGGGCTGCGCAAAGGTAACATTTCCACACTGACGCTGGGGCCACAAGCTTCGGTATGCAACTGTAACTGTAACTCCTGGTAGCAGCGGCCAAGGCTTCGGGACTTTGAGGACGACCTCCACACAGGCGGAACTGTCCTGCTGTTGGTGCAACCACACTCCGCAGCAGCACGTGGATGCCCACCCTCCCCTCCCCCAGTCACTATGTCTGTGTCCGTGATTCCCTTGCTGACAAGCTCTCAATAAACTCACCCACATCCGTGTGGTCACAAACCGAGGAACAGTAGAGTCTCGCGAATCCAAACCCAAATGCACAACAACTTCTGGGCCTTGATTTCGCCCCCCCCCCCCCCCCCCNNCCCCCCCCCCCCCCGCCCCCCCACATCTGGCAGGCCTGCGTGTGGAGAGCCCGGGTGCCGAGCTCGTCGTTGGCGCCTGCGAGCCTCCGGCTGGCGGACGCTTTGGGGCAAAGACAGAGATCATCTTGGCAGATCAGGCCGGCTTCGCCTGTGCTCGATCTTATCGCATGGGGGAGCCGGGCTATCAGGTTCTCAGCGTCTTTCAAAAGATTCACGTCTTGCCCTACAAGGATCTCTGCAGGGGCAACGTCCAGGGATTTTTACATCTTGTGATGCACGTGGCAGTTTGGTGCGACTCGTAGTCTGCAATCAAGGACACCTTCAAGTACAACTTCGACCACATGTACCACAATCACATCGTTCCGTACTTCCAGACCCAGCAAGTTGGAGAGTTCACCAAGGGTTTCGAGTTTTCCTACGATTCCGTGAGGTTTCAGGTCGTGGGCGTGCAGCCGGAGGACTCCTACGGAGTTGTGGGACACAACACAGAGATCTTCTATGAAGGGCCCGAGATCGAGCGGAAGGTTCTTGAACGCTTACAGTTGATTCCTTTCGAAGAAGGCCTGCCAGATAAGTACCGGCCGAACAAGCTGTCCCTGGACGAAGCCGGCCTTTTGCGGGACTACGTGCGTCCCTACTTCGCTCAACGTTCGGCAGCCGTCCGTACTGGCGAAACACTGCAAATCCGAGACCTGCGCTTCAAAATTATTGCGACGCGGCCATCGGAGGGCGGTGGCGTTGGCAAAGAGACGGAGCTCGCCTGCCAGGGGGTGGCCTTAAAGGAGCACTTCAAGCCTCCACCCCGGGCTCAACCTAAGGGAAAGGCGGCTGCGAAGGCGGCTGCGGCCGCTTCAAGGGACGACCAAGGCAACCAGCAATGCATGGTCTCGTAGAGCCGAGGCCCTGATGTGGCATGTACAGGGCTCATGGACGAGAGCAGCAGAGCATTTTGAAAAGTCAGAGTTGGCTAGTTCCTTTCCGACAGTGGGTTGGCAAGTAGTAACTCAGTAACCAGATCCAATCGTGCCGAGGTCACTAAACAAGTTCATGGCCTTCGAGAACAGAGATCCGTTCCAAGCCAAGCAGGACTCAACAGTCTAAGAGGCTCAGGCGGCCAGTGCCAAGACCCACAACTGTTACGAAGGAGCAGATGGAGAATCCGAACTCCACGAGCTGGCACCGGTGGTGTGCGGATCAGTACCTTAGGCCCATGAGCTCAGGGCTTGTGGCTGTTGCACAGTTGTCAGTGGACGAGTGGGCTGGAAGGTCACGCGGGGTTCGCCCGGGATTTGCCGTATTGTGGTGGGCGGTTTTGCTGTTGAAGTCTCGTCAGGCTCGCCATGGAGGAAGGTGAAGACATGGACGAAGGTGGGGCACAGCTTGAACTGTGTCTCCGTTCTTTCGCACGGGTCTGTTGGCATGTTCGTTGACAGCTGCACAGGAGCTTCAGTAACAAGATGCGCGTAGTGATGGTCAACTAGTGTGCGTCTTCTGCAGCTCTTTCTCACCTTCGCTCTTCAGGACAGGCTGATGGATAGCTTTTTTTCATGCCTGTGGCTCGGACTAGTAGCCGACAGGCTCACTTGATTCAAGTTTGCATTGCGATGTGGGGCCTTGTGGGGAGCATGCGGCACATGCTTCAACCCGCAACATCCGGCACCGCTCTTAGCAGAGGTCCGTGCACTGAGCCGTGCTTCGCTCGGTGCGGCTCCGTGCCGCCCATGACCTGTCCCCTGTCGCAAGGATTCGCAACGGCTCAACAGGTAAAAGGCAGGTAACAGAGTGACGATCAGTAGAAGGAAGCCAGTTCTAGGCTTGGCTCTTCAACATTAGCGGAGATGAAAGAAGTAAACGATGCGTGAGGGGACAGGGATTCTCAGTCGTCTCACCCTTCCCATCAAACCCTTTACCCCAAGTCCCCACATGCTCCTTCTTGCCCTCGGGTAAGTTTGGCGAGTTTTGTCTCACACCCAAGTTGAAAGATGCCTGGACACGAAAGTTTCAGGCTTCGGGCAGCAGACGCTGAGCAACCTGACACCCTGAAGTTGACGATGTAATTCGTCGGAGAGGCTGGAGTCAGGAGGCTCCTCGAGCTCTCCTTGTGTTGTCAGTCCTTGCAGTGCCCCGCACGGTTGACAACGTCTGCCAGCACGAGAAGGGAAGAGAGACCCGTGCTGAAGCATTCAAGCTGCTGACCCTTGACATCATCGTTCCAGGTTCTTCCTGTATGTCATCTGCACTCATGCGCCATCCGCTGTTACTGCTTGGAATCCATCCCCGCACGGCACTGAATCCGAAATTAACACTTCACGAAGGCGAAGTGCTTGTCTGAGCGTCTTGACTGCGGTTTCGTGAAGTACTGTAGGACTTCAGCATGAGGTCTCGCTCCCTGATGGTTAACACTGGCCAAAGTGGCTTTATGCATGTGCTCGTCGCCAAAAGACAACCGACATGAGCGCCGAAGTGTCTGTGCAGTCCCGTATCCACACTGTTTGACATAGGTTTGGCCCCAACTTGCTCAGACTGGCGTCAGTCTCACGTTCAGGCACTAACTCTTATGCTTGTAGGACATGTCCTTGTCATAATGTCCGCTGCTCCGCCCGGCACTGTCTGTTGTGCTGGAAGCCTGGAATATGGAACACGCAGTCCCGGCGGCAAAGGCGAGTATGGTTCTGACATTGAGCACGTGCCAGCACCCTGCATCGGCGCATGCTTTCTCCGTGCCCATAGATGAGAACATGCTGGCACAAGCAGCGTCGCAAACTCTGCAGCGGGCCGGCGAGAAATTGGGCTTCCGCCCCGAGGACGTGCTGGACTTGACAGCCTCTCTGCATGATCCACAGGAGATGCCTAGTTTGCGCATTGGAGAGCGCTGTTGTTGTGGAAAGGTAGAGATGCGCCGAGATCAGATTGCCGAGGCGATGCGGGATCTATTCGAAGATGCTAGAAGGCAATTACAACTAACGGGGCTGAGACCGCGAGTCGTGCGTGTGCTGCACGTTGCACCCAGTACCGAAATCGTTGCGCCTTCTGCACCTCGGAGCTCGATGGAAAGTGGAGCCTTGAGCGCGCCCGCCAGGCAATTCAGCCAACCTCAGCAACCCATGGACAAGCATGAACTGCAGCTTCGCAAGAAGTCTCCCAGAAGCCTACGCCGGGATGCACAGTCCTTATGGACCGCACTGGAGAAGTCCAAGGTATACATTCCGCCGGTACCAGATACGCCGGTCGCGAATGACCGATTTCACTTAGAGCGACACGGGCATGGAAGAGGCAACACGAAAAGTACCAAGAAGAGGAGAAAGCGAGAGGATCGCGAAACTCTCTGTGTGGCTCTCAGGGAACAAACATTAGCAGCGCTGCCATGTCTCCCACATATTGAGATTTGTCAACCAGAAAGGTCAAACCGTTCTGAGTCAAGTTCGCGGCTGCCCAAATTGCGTAAAGACAAAGGTCGCCTCATCCTTCACCTCGAGCAGATCGCCCTTGAACACGGCGTGAAAAGGTCTCCCGAAGAGCCAGAAGCGTCGGGTGGCTCCCTGGAGAATGCCAATAGCGACTCCGAGGACTCCGGCAGTTGAAGGCGAGGGGATAGGGGGGTTTTTCGCACCCGCTTCTGTGCGACGCTGTTTGGAGACGACACGGATCGCTACCGCAGCTTTGCTCGGCTCAGGCTTGATTTTTGCTGAACAGCCTTGTGGCAACGAGAGGATGTTCTGACGAGAGTTCTGTGGGCACGTGCATGCCCCTGAACTAACTCGGCAAGGGACGCAGGACCTGAAACAGTCTAGGTTTCATTTTAGGTGCCGCATGAACGACGATGGTGCTGACTCCGTCACATGGCTTGCCCTTGCAATTCTGATTCTCGGGCCGCTTGACTGATGAGGAACCTCATCCCGTACTGTACTTGCCTCATCATACTGGAGGTCGAGTCTTCCTGGCTTTCGGATTTAGGCAATCGTGTTCTCTGCATTCGTTGTATGAAGTTGCTGGGTTGAACTAGACCCCGACTTACCCTATGTTGGAAGACTTGAAGCGCCACAGGCGCAGGTTTTTGGTTCTCGCCTCCGCCTTGCTGCAAGCTGGAACTAGATTCGGAAATAGTTTCGCCTTGGACAAGCCCGAGTGATAGCACAGAAGCTTGGTTCTGGAACCTTCAGTGGTGCTGCAAAGTCGGAGACTCTGCAAGCGTGGTAACCGCAGCCACAGCATCAGGAGCAGCAGCAGGCCGCCGACCCGAGCAGCAGCAGTAGCACCGGCAGGAAAACGGCGAAGAAGAGCCAAAGACGAAATAATGCCGCAGAGATGGCAACAGCACAGGCACAAGAACAAACAGAAGCAAGACCCGCATCAGCCACCACGGGCAGCCAGCGGCGGCAGCAGCAACAGCATTTGCCGCCGCTTGCACGGCCAGGACACCGCCACATCGCACAACCAACACCGCCACTAGCACCACGATCCCCACAAGAGCAACAGCTGCCCCGACACGCGCGAGCACTACCCGTCCCAGCAGCAACACATCACCAGCAGCAGCAAGAGAAACGTGCGCACAGCCAGCAACAGCTTTTCTTGGCGATGGCGCCGGCGACATTGACTGCCATGGTGATTGTGACAACAACGACAATAGCGAATGTGTGGCAGATGCAACCTTGTTGCTTTTCCAACTTTTTTTCCCGAGGCTTCTTCTTGGTGGACGACTTGCGCTCTCCAGGTCGGGGCCTTGGCGGTGTTTGTGGGCAGGCTGCAACATCTACAGTATGGTGTGGTGTGGCAAGCATTGCCGTGACTTTCTCAGACGCTTGTGGTGGGGACAGGTGGCGCTCGGACGTCCCCATAATGTTCATGTGTTGAGCGTTCCTGAAGTGTGTGGGCATTGGCGGGTCCAAGATGGCCCATGTTTGACTTTTTGAGTGATACTCCATGTATGTGGTGGGAGAAAGCCACGCATCCCCGATGCAGTGAAGCCTCGAAATTCAAAGTTTGAGTGACCTGCTATTTCATGTTGACTCCGTTGGAGGTAGCTCCGTTGCCCCAGGCCACGCGCTGGCGGACAGCAGGGCCAAAGCCGGCTCTTGTCCGAGAGCTCCCAGATGCAGGAGGCCGGATGACTATGTTCATGGCGGCATCCCCCGTCGTTGTGCCTCTGCTGTCGTTGCTGCTACTGCTGTAGTCCGATGGGAAGAGAGTCGAAACGAGGTAATCGTGTTTGTCTCCTGCCAGCCCAGAGAGCCTTTGCAGAGCCATGCCGAAGCTGTGCCCAGGGCTACGTCTCCGAGCCAGGACGCAAAGAAGCAGTGCCTTCTCAGAGCGACCGGCCTGTGCTGCTTGGTGGCCTTGGCCTGACAGCTTGGCTTTCCTTCTGCGCACTTCGGCAACGAAGCAAGTTCTCGAGGTCGAAGTCGCTGCGGTACCAGCTCACTCCCGACTTGCTCGCTGGCACTCAAGCAGACTCAAGCGAGGGCCGCGAGGGCTCGGCCTCGGCCTCCTCACTTGTCTGGGACGTGCAAAGCACCGAGGATGCGGCAGCGCTTTTGGCCGCTTGTCCACTCGATCTGGTAATCGCTTGCAGCTTCCAGAGAGCCTACGCTCCGCATTATTTGGCCCAGCAGGAGGCGGTTCGAAAACTGGCCGAGGCGCAGCCGGCTGGAATGGCTTTCGCATGTGTGGACTTGAGCTGCAAGGACGTCGCCGAATGGGCAGGTGTGCGGGAGCCGGAAGTTCGGCTACTTCAGCCGGACGGCTCCGTGATGGCACGGCTGAACCCACAGGAAGTGAAGGCAGGTGCTTTGCACAAGTTGGCACTGGACAAAGCGAAGGGCTTGGCCAAATCGGCGGAGCAGAAGCTGGATGCCTTGTCCGAGCGATTTCCAAACGCTTTACGTAGCGAACTTGACATCTGCCTTCCCCGTGACAGCCTGGAGAAGATGCAGCAAAATGCAGTGGACACCGTGCAAAAGATGTATGGTTGCGAAAGCCCGGAAGCAGAGATGGTGGACACTTTATGTCGGACTTGCCAGAAGGGCTCTGCACCCAGGCCACGCCTCATAGCTGGCCTGGCAAAGATTATCCGTGCCTCTGACACCAAGTCGAGCATACCATTTCTGGATTTGGGTCGGCGTTTGGCCGGGCTGAAGCTGTGCGGGGGCGCAGAGCCCGGGGCCCAAGAGGCTTTAGAACTCCTCTTGGACTCCAGCCTCTGCAAAGTTGACTCTGAGAGCCCTGGGCCAGGGCCTTGCATGATGCTCGCACTGCAGCTCCTGGCCAATTGCTTTCACCAGCCGTCACTGGCAGAGGCTTTGCTTCCGGTCGTTGCACAGTTCGTGCAGGCACCCGCTTGGCCTGTGCTGTGGTCCGAAGCACCAGGCACCAGCCAAAGCCACCTAGACAAGGCAAGGGATGCTGCCGCCATCATGCTTCTGAATGCATCAGTCGTGCTGAGACAGGCGCGGCTGCGAGCGACACATGCCCCTTTGTTAGAGCATTCAGTTCTTGCCTTGAAACGGTGTCCAAGTGACCAGAGACTAAATTGGACAGTTGCCAACCTGCTGGCGATGGGTGGAGGGGTGGACGAGGCCAAATCGGTCTTGCAGGCACAGCCGATGACGCCCCTGCGGCTCCTCGCAGCTGCAGTCTTCAACGACCAGCTGAGTGGGCCAGACAGCGTGGCCTTCCCCGCAGCATGGCACCCTCCTACTACTTCCACGGCGATGGCACCTGCGAATGACCAGAGGAGGCGTCCGGGTCGAGCCATACCGGCTCGGCACCGTCGTCGCGGTGGAGGCTGAGGTTAGGTGCGCTGACATATCATGTAGTGACAACGCTGTATTGGCCCCCTCGGCTCATGAAGGCAGGTGAGAAAGCATGTTGAGAGAGATATGGGAGAGGCCGTATGTCAAAAGATACAAAAGCACCAATCGCAAGTGTTCACGTGTATGGGCTCTCCTTGTTGATGCCTGCTTGATTGCCGGTGAAAGGGCCTTTGCATCTGGTCACTCCTGCCGTGTGTGTACGTAGACGGATGAAGTTTGCTCGGGAGCACCGGGGCAGCCTGTACAGCGGCACGCGTTCCGCGGGGACACGTCAACAAAAAGAAATTGGCGATAAAAAGCCAGGTTGAAGTCTCACTCAAGAGTCACCGCGACGCGACCCGAGGCATGCAGCGACCGAGATGGCAGCGCAACCGCTTCGCTTCGTCGGAGGCCTTATACAGAGCAGCGGAGAAGGCAGCTGGGCCGCAGCGGAAGAACCTCCAGAAGGACTTCGAGGAGGATGAGAACGAACGTGAGGCTGTTAGCAAGAAAAGGATGCCGCAGTTGTGAAGTCGGGCAAGTGGAACAGGGGCATCTCATTGCAAGCTGTTGCGCCGTGATGCATGCTATACTCAGTGGTTGGCTTGGCTAGAAAAGCTCCATTTTTGAATGTCAGGGGGTAGGTGGTAGGTGGGGGCGCTGGTGCCGCACTCTCAGAGTGCAGCTCTGGCTGGGCTCTTAAGGGTGGGCTCGCAAGAGTACACCTCGGAATGCGCACAGAAAGTCACTGTAGTTGTCTAAAAACTGTAGCCGAGGCGTCCGCGAGCTATGAAAGTCACACTGAAATATGAGGCCACACAGTTCCGGAGCGATCAGACTCATGAGTGGGATCTTTTGTCTTGCGAAAGGAAGCTCAAACGGAGGACGGGGGCTGGGCCTCGCTTTTTCACGCCTAGCCAGCTGCCAGAACTGAGCTAATGTACTGTGTCGTTGGAGCCCATGATGCCCTTGCTGCAGGACCTTTTCATGACGCTGCGGCTTACTCTGCCGCAAAAGTATGTCAATGGAACCAACAAGGAGGCATGCTTGCCGGAAACTGCGCAAGCCACGCGGCAGGTCGTGTTTTGTGTCAAATGCCAGGTGGTGAAACTTTTTGTGGACCATTACAACAAGCTGCTCTTTTGCAGCTGCACATGAAACGGGGACGAAGTCTCAGCTCTGTCTTCGGCGCCCGAGGAAGAAAGCCGACAACATGCTCTCGTCAGAGGATCTGCACCTCAAAATCGTTCGATTCTCGGGCCTATTCGGGACCAGATGCGTGGACCGTGAAACAGAGAACCAGGTTGGTGGAATTCACCTCGACAATGAAGAGAGAGTGCGTGACTCTTTGTCGCCAGCACCTCAATGATGACGATGCTGCGTGTTTGGCAGTGTCCATGGGTGCCGCGAGCAGTCGAGGAACGGTGACGAGTGCTACCTCCTGGGCAAAGATTCAGAGGGGTGCTGACCTCAGGATGGCTCAAGCGCGCGAATCGTGCACGACGTGCGCTTGGACACTGTACACTGCTGATCAGGCCGGCGCCCAAGCGGCAAGAGGCCGAGAAGGCCAGTCTCCCCATTGCACGCGCTTGTTCTACGCTTGGCATGTGGTGATCTTGTGGACAGGGCTACCAGTGCACGCCGGCAGCTGCCAGCAACACCACTGAAACCAAGGCCGCAGTTGCCACGCCTAAGATTACGATTGTGCATCCGCAGAAGTTGACATTGATGTTTGTGGCATGCGTGGATGCAGGGAGGAAGGGGGGGGGGGGG